GCTTTCGGGGTAACGACTTGTCGGGTGAAGACTTCGTAGGTGTGCAGTTTGACCTTGAGGACTAGGGTCCGGCCTTTGACCTCGACGCGAACCATATCTTTTGCAAGCTCCTCGGCTGTGTGCCGAAGCTTTTCACGAAGTTCCTGCTTGTCACTTATGTCGCGGAATGTGCTTTCAGTCCCCACGCTCTTTCGCTCATACTCCTCAGCAGGCTGTACTACGGTGCGTCCCAGTCCAAGATATGTCTGCATCAGAAAATGGAATGCCTTCTCACCGAACAATTTGTACAGATACGCCCGGTGGACGTAGATGTCACCGCATGTTTTGATACCAATCGCATCGAGCTCTCGCTCAAAGACACGACCGACGCCGTTGACTTTGCGGACGGGAAGTGCAGATATGAACGACATGACGGCAGCTCGCTCATTGGGGATTCGGAACTGCCCATTGGGTTTGTTCCTATTGGAACAGATCTTAGCCAATTTGGCATTGGGTGCAATCCCCGCGGAGACTGTAATCTTACACTTCTCGTGCACTTCCTTTCGAAGTTGTTCAACCGCAGCCTCCGGGTCCATTTGATGAGTGTGGCAATACTCGGTGATGTTCAGGTAGGCTTCGTCGATACTGGAGCTCTCAAAACGCGGGTCGTATTCTGCGAGGATAGCTCTCACTTCTCTTGCCTTGGCTGTGTATTTGTCAAAGTTCAAGGGTAAACAGATCAGCTGGGGGCAGAGCTTCTTGGCCACAAAGCCTGCCATGGCACTGCGACAACCATACTTGCGGGCTTCATAATTACAGGTGGTAAGGACCCCCATCCCCACGGCCATGGGGACATTCTTGAGCTCCGGTCGGTCAATCTCTTCAACGGCGGCGTAAAAGGCATCACAATCAATGTGGACGACATATTGTGACAGGTCTCTCGCCACTTCGAGGGAGGTAATGTAGTCATCTGCCCGGCGCAAATCCGTCTTCAGGTCGAGCTTCTCCAGTTGTGCCTTCTGTTTGAGAATCCGCTCGATCTTTAGAGTCAAATTCCTGTCCCTGACTTCTTCATTGTTGAAGAATTTGGAGCCTTTCGACGCCTCGTATATGATCTCAGAGACCTTCTTTTGATCAACCGCATCCTGTCCTGCTTTAGTCAGGGAAGGGCCGAGTAGATGGTGCTTCAGGGAATGGTGTTGGGATGCCTGGAGGGAGGCGTTTTGGGCCTGCGGTATCTGATCGACATGGTCTGGGGAATTGTCTGTGTCTGGGGCGATGGTGGTAGTGAGGCCATCATTCTCGTCATGCAATGTCATTGCAACACCGGAGGGATGATGTCGGGCAGCATAGTGCGATGCCGCTTTGAGCAGTTGGCAGTCTGGTGGTGTCAAGGACGCGACAGGGTAGGGGCGTGATGGTGGACGTGTTTTAGCGAGAACCTTGGAAAAGTCACCTGCCGTAGCTGCCCGTGGCCTGCCTCCCAGTGACGAAACCAAACCACGCAAGCTAAACCATTCGCGGTAATCTTCTGGAGCGTGCACCCGGAATCTCAAACAGCTTGTTGACATTGAATGTGGAGAGACACCGCCTGCGCTCACTGTCTACAGAGACTCAGAGCCTGCCCGCCCTCTTGAGCCGACAATAATGGTCTCTATCGAGTCCTGGACTCCCTTCTGTCGCTGTCATGCGAGAGCGAGAGCGCCCGCTGCCACAGCCCGTCCCTCGTTCTCGACGTTCGCCCCTCCCGACAACGATGCACGCCGATAAACAAACCCGGTCCAACACCTCGAAACCACTGACTCCGGCTCTCAGTGCCAACTTCCGCACTGCCAAAAGCCCCCTGACCCCGAGAGTGGTCGGCTCTGCTTCGTCTTCGCCTAACCTGTCCTCTCGCAGGGACCCTTTCGTCAGGTCAAAATCGCCCCCCAAACCCGATCAGACCACAACACCCCTAAATGGAAATATCACTCCTCGGTCTGGTGCGAGGAAGTCACGGGTTGGAACAGAGTCACCCTTGACTCCAGCACAGCCAAGGGGAACGGGCAACGGTCAGAGGTCGAGAGCGTCGTCGGGCAATGAGTCCTCGAAACCCACTATTGGTGCAATGCGAGGCCTCGGGCTCACCAGCCCACGGCTGGCAGCCAGTACAGGTGCTCTACCGAGGGCAAACACGTCAACATCTACACCTGCCGTGACCATCCATCGAAGGTTGTCCGCAACAAAGAGCATGGTGGAGGGGGATAAAGATATCACGTCGAAGTTCTTCCACGCGAACGAGGTCAAGCCCATTGTCGGATCCCCAGAGGCTGACGAGGGCCACCGATTTCCTCCAAGGCCAGGACACTTCTTCGTTGGTTCTCCCCCGCTGGGCAGGGATAATGCAAGTGGAAAGGAGAACCTGGACGATAAATTCTTCAGGGCAAACGATTTGACACCACACGCACCGGCTCGACGTAACATCCTTCCTCACATCTCAACGGAGAGGTTGAACAGTCCTACCATCACAACAGCCACACACGGCTTTCGAAATACTCCTCCCCAATCCCCAAACAGAGCTCACAACGTGTTTCCTCCAGAACCCTCATCGCCCCGAAAACTACAACCTACCCAGGCGCCCTCACCTCCGGGGCCCCGAGCGTCTGCCGAACGCCCTAAGAGCAGCTCAGGCAGTACTACAGCGTCTCAGCCTACCCCGAACAGTCATCGAAAGTCGATCAGCGCAAGTTCTATTGGATCCCCAGCTCTCAGGCAACTGAGCAGCATTAGAGCACAACCACCCCAGCCATTAGATCTCCACCCTGCTCCTCTAGTCTCACCCCGGATCCACGGGCAAAGCCTCCTTTCTCCGGAAACGTTGAGTCCCAGGTCTACCAGCCTTGCATCTACGAACACTGTCCCCACTTCTGTCCCAAGTGACACGGAACTCTCAGAAGTCAGCAAGACTCCCGGCGCACCTGCGTCGAGTTCAGACTCAAGAACAGACTTAGCAACTACCATCATCCATTCTCACTTGGATCAAGCTGCTAATGCCCGGCGGGAACGTAAAGTCCTGGATCTGGAAATCTCGAACTCGTCACTACTGGCCATCAACAAGACCTTGGAACGTGAACTCCGCAAGCAGACTGGGGAGTTAAGAAGGTATCGGCGACTGTCGCGTTCAGGGCGATTATCGCTTGCGCCGACAACAAGGACAATCTCCGGGCAGTCTGATCTCACACTGGGAACGGTCACCGAGTTTGACGAAGAAGATCGTCAATTTTCAGACGACGACGACAGCGATCTAGACGATCTCGAAGACGAAGATGGTTCTATGCTGTCCAACGAGTCTGGTTCCATGCTAAGTCCATCGGTCCGATCGCGCCAGCGCGCGAGAGACGAGAAACGACTGATGCAAGACCTGTCGCGCCATCAACAACTCCTTGTCGACGTCCAAAAACTCAGCCAAAGTATAAAACGATGTCTCACCTGTTCAGAGGAGTTAATTCGAGAAGGGAACAAAGCTCTTGATTATCGAGTAGGCATTGGGGACGTGAAGCTTGGGGGGAAAGTTTTAAACGACGATGAGTTGGATGAAAGGGGGTTGGTGAACGGTGTGGAGGAGCAGGAGGCCAGACAAGGTCTACTGAGTCCCAGCATCACCAAGGCGAACATAGACGAGGCGGCGCTGTGGGGAGCCGGGCCGCCTCCAACAATCATTGCCAGCGATATGACAGCGATGCCCTCGTTGGACGAATTGTCTGATATATTGGATTCTGTCAGCGCGCAGCTGGCCGACACCTAGATTGGCGCGCGCCTTTAAACTCTTGGACTGGATCCACGGAAGACAAAGTTTGTCTTCCCTTTACGACATGATGACCCAGACTGCATTGGAAGCCGGATTACGTGAAGAGATTGCTATTTCCTTTTGTTGTTGTGGCGGGAGTTGAGCTTGTTGGGTGCGGATAAGATGTGGAATCTGCGATCGTTGCGATTGTGTATAAAATGATACCCCCCCAAGTCATTGCCGAGTCTCTCTTTCTTTTTAGTTGTTTGTCAACCCTGGTGCGCAGAAGGAGAGGTGGTCGAAAAGCCTCGCCTGTCGGGTTGGAGGTTGGCTATATATATCAATCCTCCCGGGCGTCGTGAAGGAGAAGATAATGGTGGCAGAAAGCTGAGCAGGACGGGACGAGACTTGATCGAGAAAACATACTGTATGTACAGAGAGAAGGAGGAGAAGAAGAAAGAAACAAAAAGTATCATCACTCCGACTCACACTCATATTCACTCATACTTACCCTCGCTCTCGCTCTCGCTGTGTACTATGTACTACCCTCGTTCAAGAACTCGAAGGAGAGACACAGACATTCTTCTGGTGCGAGTTGTCGAGTGCTGAGACAACTCGTGTCGTCCATTTACACAGACACGGGCACTTTTCAGGGCGATGGGGTTCTTTCTAGCGAAGGGGGGAGACAGAGGAGGAGCAAGAAGAAGGGAACAAGAGACAAAAGGAGGTCAAGGAAGAAGGGAAAGGGAAATGGGAAAATAGGGGGAATTTGATATCTATGTGCGTCGGCGAGCGCGAATAAGGTTCCAAAACAAACGACATCGAACAGCAACGCTTTCTGGCCTGCCTATTCCTTGTATCCTGGTCCTGACCCCGTCCCTGATCCCGTCCCGACCCACCATATGCGATTTCCTCGACGATACAGGCCCGATCCAACCAAGCCTGTGCCTGATTACCCCAATAGTACGTAGTAGGTTGTGCAAGTAGAGAGAGAGAGCGCGCGCGAGAGAGAGGGGGAGGGAGGGAGGGAGAACTTTGTCGTCATGCATTCGTGCCTGTGAAGAAGGTCTAGCCAATTCGCGAGCAAGAAAAGCGACACATTCCGCGCGCAAGCCACAGATGGTTGATAGATGGCCCGGATCGAATGTCCCACAAGAGTCACGACTCGACTCTCTGAAAATCCGGCTTCAGGCTTCGTTTCAATCATGCTCCGCCTGGGGAACAAATGGTGTTCCAGCCCTGGCCATTCTCAAACTCACGCCGATGTCGACTGTCTCGGTGAACCACTGGCGCTGGACTCTCGGTTGCCTCCAAAGAAGTGTCTGTGTGATTGGTCACCATGGATGCTTTCTTTTTGTTTCTCCTTTTCCTTTTTCTTCTCTTGCTTTTTCATCGACTCGGCCATTAGTTGTTCAAAGGCCATAAAGTCGCCTTCCTCGTCTGGATCGCGTTCAGCCTGCAAGCGACACAACGTTAGCATTGACGAGGTACATTCCAAAGTTGAGAGATGCGCCTCTTGAACAGAGGAGACTTACCTTTTGGTAGATAGTCCCACAGAGGACCAGGGCATGTGCTCGTTCTATTCGCTTCTCCAGTCGAACGTTCTTATCGTTCAGAATCCGGTCGCACACATCCCTTAACACGCCCTGAATCTCGAACCTGGAACCCCTCCACGCAGCTGCCAGGATCTTGCCAGTGACTTTTCTTTCGTACTCTGCTTTCTTCTCATCAGTCCAATCGGCACCACCCTTTTCTTCCAGCTTGGCCATTTCTTCCATTGTTAGTTGGGCGTCGATGGCTGACGAGATTGTGTTCCATGTGTCTTTGGCAAGGGTGCCTTTGTCTTTCAGACGGGAGAAGAAGCCCGAGATGCCGAGGAACTTTTGGGATTTGAGAAACGAGGTGGCTTTTTGGATGTATGTCTGTCCGACAGCGTGGAGGATTTCAATACCGAAGGACTCCATCTTGAGATTTTCAACTTCGAGTCTGATCTTTTCTTGGAACGCGTGGGTGACTTCGGGGCTCTTATCCGTTTCTGTCCACACGCTGATACGATCGACCAGTTTCTTTGCCAGAGTCTCGACTCGTTCTTCTCGGAGGCGTCGTCTCTCCCGTTCGTAGGCTTCCAACTTCTCCCGCTGTTCTTTGGTCAAGCCGCCTTTCTTTTTCTTCTTCTGCAAGTCTTTTTCTTCTTGGGTCAAACCCGCCGCATCCATTCGCGCATCTTCTTCTGATCGATCCATGATGGCTTGCTGCCCAGCGTATCTTCTCTGCGGGGTGCTAGTCCCAGAAGATCTGCCGGTGGACGTCGATGGCTCTTCACCGGAAACATATGGTGGAGGCGGTACGGTGGTCCCCTCTGGTGCGGAATGTGCTTTTGCTTCGGTTTCCTTCGCGTCCATGGTCGCCGTGGTTACCTCTTTTTCTTTTGCTTCGTGGACGTTCAGCTTCTCCTCCGCAGTTTTCGCAAGTTCTTCTTCCTCCATGGCCTGCATTGTGATGTCCATGGTATGTGTAAGATCTTTCAGGAGGCTCAATTCGCCGATTAGGTCGACAAAGGCATCACCGCCAAAGATCATGCTGAAAAATTCGGCGGGATCCTCGAACCCTTGGCTAGGCATGGCTTTTTCCTTGCCATATTTGTCGTACGCGGCGCGGGTGTCCTTGTTCGATAGGACTTGATAGGCTTCGCCGACGGCTTGAAAGCGGACGTGCGCGGTTTCGTCGCCGGGGTTCTTATCAGGGTGGGTGGTGATGGCGAGCTTCCTGTAGGCTTTTTTGATTTCCAATTCGGAGGCATCTGGTTTGACGCCTAAAGCGTCATAGTAGGAAGTGTCGACGACCATTGTAGCGGGTGCAAATTCTACCTGAGATGGATGTAAGATCTGGCCGATGCGCCAACTGACATGGGATGGAGAAGTGTACGATTTATATCGCAGCCTCTGGGCTCGTGAAGGCCGCCGGTCCCGTTGGTGGCCGCAAGCACGAAACCCAGCACAGGGGGTGAAGTCATAGGTAGATGGGTGATGCCTGCGGCTCAGCCACTTGGGTGCCACTGTGGCTATGACGCGCCCCGGTCAACCTGCCCCGGTAGATTTTTGAGGCATCTGGTGGTCGAGCAAAGGTCCCTAGAGCTGATTTGGCATCGCCTCCCTCCCTAATAGATGAACCCTCGGTTAATAGGGATCGTGCCATTCGGAGATGCGAACCTCCACACACAAAAACACGACGGTCTAGTTCACGTCGAGCCACGGGTAGTTGATGAAAACTCGCCGCCCCTTTTTCTCCTCTGGACCATGGTCGCTCATTATCACCTAGTGTTCTCCATACGTCGGGAGTGTTCAACGGTCAGCTAGGAACAAGGGGACCTCTCCACAAGTTGACCTGAAAATTGCATTGAACCTCGAATCTTCGTCACAATGGTCAAATCCAGCGAGGTTTTGTTTTACCTCCTACATCCCCAGCAATTGCGCTCTATCATTCAATGGTGAGTTTGATGAGCGAGCTCACGTCACGCCTGGTGGCTGACACTTGCTCAGGAAAGTCTGGCACAACCCGGTCCACGAACGAGATGAATCCAAAGAAACCGAATCCGTCAAAAACTGCTTCAAGTACCTGGACATGACCAGTCGCTCCTTCAGCGCCGTCATCAAAGAGTTACACCCAGAGCTTCTTCTGCCCGTTACTGTGTTCTACCTGGTTCTGCGCGGTCTGGATACCATTGAAGATGACACCTCGATCCCCGTTAAGAAGAAGGAACCAATCCTGCGCAGCTTCGACGAGGTTCTTGAGATTGACGGATGGACTTACACTGAGAACAGGCCGGAGGAGAAGGATCGAGAACTGATGCTCAATTATGGTTGCGTCATCGAAGAGTTCAAGAAGATGAAACCTGCATACCAAGTTATCATCAAGGATATCGCGAAGAGAATGGGCAATGGCATGGCCGACTACTGCCTAAAATCTGAAAACAACGATTTTGCCGTCATGACCTGCGAAGAGTACGACCAGTATTGTTACTATGTGGCGGGATTGGTCGGAGAGGGATGCACGAGAATGTTTGTTGAGAGCAAATTCGGAAACCCGGCTCTGCTCCAGAGATCCAATCTTCACAGATCGATGGGGCTTTTCCTGCAAAAGGTCAACATCATCCGAGACGTGCGAGAGGATTTCGACGACAACCGAATATTCTGGCCAAAGGAGATCTGGTCCAAGCACGTTGACCAGTTTGAAGATCTCTTCAAGCCCGAGTACAAGGAGCAGGCACTGAATTGCAGCGCAGAAATGGTATTGAACGCACTCGAACATGCTGACGAATGTATTTTCTATATGGCTGGACTGCGGGAGCAGAGCGTATTCAACTTTTGCGCAATTCCGCAGACTATGGCGATTGCGACGCTGGATCTCTGCTTCAGGAATTACTCCATGTTCCTCCGCAACATTAAAATCACAAAGGGCGAGGCCTGCCAGATCATGCTCGAATCGACCCAAAACCTCCAGGTGGCGTGCGAGGTGTTCCGCCGACATATTCACTCCATCCGCAAGAAGAATCGGCCGCAGGACCCCAACTTTTTGAAGATCAGCATTGCTTGTGGCAAGGTGGAGCAGTTTATCGAGTCGATATTCCCCTCCCAAAAGGTTGAGGACGTCTTGGCCAAGAACAAGGCAGACGAGGCTCGGGCGGCCCTTTCCAAGAAAGGAGCATCGAGGGATTCATCCGAGACACTTGCGCTGTTTGGCGCGGTGGGTGTGATGCTCCTCATCATTACTGTAACTATAGTGAGAAAGCCCTCGTTCTGAAAGTACCAATCAGCGCTAACGTGATTCTAGCTTGGGGCCGCATGGCTTATGGGTGCCCGATTCGACGTGGTCTTCGAGGACCTGAAGAAGTTCTGGGGACAGATGTGGAGCGGATCAGTCCTCAACGGAACACAAAATAGCACTTCGAGCGACACCACTGGTCATGGCGAACTATGATTGGTTTCGTTGTGTTGTGTTATGTTGTGCTCGGCAGAGGGTGCGGATGGCACATATGTACCGAGTATTTGCCCAGGTATTGGTGGCATTCTGAAGTATAGTTTGAGAAAAATGTCATGTCTAAAAGCATGCTGAGCTCACGAGATCCGATACAGGCTTTTCTTTTTGTGGGAGGAAAATGACCTCTTTATACAGCACGGATGTCAAATTGCAACTCAGCCGCTCTCATTGACTGTTGTTGTGCCGAAGATGTGCTAAAATTGATTGCTCAAAACTGACAATTGACAGGCCCGAGAAGGGATTCTCTGAGGGGTCTTGTTACCTTTGAGCGGACATTATCTCTGCCCTTGTGAAATGCCAATCCAACATTCGTGGCGCCATTCAACCATCATGTGCACTCGTCGTTCTGTAGTCGGTGCAAAAGGTTGTGGTGGCTGGAAAGTTGATGATGACGTCGTTGATGTGGTTGAGGGACTAACTGGAAGTGGCAGGAAGTGACCAACAGTGCATTCCTTCCACCTACCAAGCACAACAGAAGAAAGGTTGTTATGCCTGGGGGATAAACAGGCACCTGCTAGGCAGTGGTGGCCACTAATACCCATCCATCAACAGGGGTAGGATCTGGTAGGGGATCTAGGCCATTGGGCATCACTCAGGAAGGTAAAGAGCCCGACCGACGTCATGCACCTAGGAGAAGTCTCCCCCGCCCTACCAAGTGCCTCGTACAATTATGTGCAAGACTCAATGCCAGCCTCTTCCTCTCCCCTTGGTCTCGCCTCGCTCACCTTCTTCCCTGTTCTCTCTTCGCTTCGTCGTGTCGCAGCTGTCATGCTGAGTGGCTCGCCCTCCTCTCGGCATTTTCTCGTTCCTGCCCCATTCAGGTATCATCAGTCTTCGCCTCTTGGTCCACGTTGAATGTGTCGATCGTGAGATGTGAAGCGATCTTAAAACCAATGCTTGCACATTTTCCTAATCCCTCCGGGCCTTTGGCGTCTCTGGGTTGATCCGGGATCGCCCATCCTCGATCACCAACCTCTCCCACAGTGGGACTTCCACGACCTTCGTAGAAATGGCATCCCCCAACATGGCGCTCCTGGTCAGATAAGCATTATTCTGCGGTGTCCGTCGAAGCGGCCCCATCCACCGACCCGTCCAGTCCGCCGTTAAATACGAAACCCCATGACCAATATCTGTTCCTTATTCTGTCTTCTTTTCATCCTTGTATCCAGTTGAATTTGAGCAAACCCTTTAAACAGCCCAATGGACTTTGTTAAAGACGGTGTAGCTGCCACACAATGACGTCTTCGCTATAGACTCACTTCTCAGTTTCTACTTATTTACTTATGGTGCCCGTTTGTGCGTTCGGACTTTTAAGCGCAACCGCAGATTCTCTGTGCGAGCCTCACATCCTACGATAGACCAGCCCTTTCACCATGGCTCTCCAATATGTTTGCTCTTAATTAAACCGTCCCGGACCTGCGCCCAATTAAACACAGAAATTGTGTGTCGCTCAGCCAATAGGCCAGCCGGCGTCCTTTGTGCAGGCGAACTTTCCCTCTGCAGCGCTATACAAGTCGGGCGGTGGGTGCTGCAAGGCGTCCTGACTGACACCCAGCGAACCAATTCCGATCTCGAAACACTCCCGCCAGCTGCATTATCGGCTCACGACGACAGCCGCGTGTAACGCCCAACCCCTTTCAAAATGGATCAGGCTCTAGGATTAGGCCTGAACGGCGTGAACCTCGCCCTCACACACCATGATAAGGTCATCGATCCCCTTCACCGCAGATACAAGAAGATGCGTGGCGACGTCCCTCAACCTGATCCTGATCTCTACGACAGAAGAACCATGGAAGAGAAGGGCCTCGTCCTACGCCGTCGGCGCGATGTTGCCTCGGACGAAGAGATTGTGGAAGTGGTGAGGCACAAAGGGGACATTCTACCCCGACGGCCTGGTCGGTCTGAGCAACGACAAAGAGCCACCTCTATGCACACCGGTCGGGACATTGGTGCAGGCGCCGCCGCAGGTGCTGGTGCAGGTGCGCTGATTGCCCACCGCGACCGAGATCGCCATCGAGACGATTACTATGAATCGGAAGGTTCTGTGCCTCCACGATCTCGTGTACGGGCAAAATCCTCTTCTGGTCGCTCCCGTCGCCGTCGGAGCTCCTCTTCCTCTTCCTCGTCGCTGCTCTCTTCCACCGAAGAAGAGAAGAACATTCGCAAGATGCAGCGCAAAAAATGGCTCACCGCCGCCCTCGCAAGTGTGGCCACGATACACGCCGCCTCCAAGGTCTATTCCTCCATCGAGTCGCACGACAAACGAATGGAGAAAGTTCGCGAAGGCAAAATGTCTCCAGAAGAAGCCCACAAACAACAACGCGCTTCCCGGTGGCAGGATGCTGCGGCCATTGGGATTGCGGCATTGGGTCTCAAAGGTGCGGTGAGCGAGTGGAATGAACTGTCCGAGGAGCACAACCAACACAAGGAGCTGCTCTCACAGAAAGAAGAACACCACAAAAGGCGTATGGAGCGCGAGCGACGCCGGCGGGCAAGGGAACGGGGAGGTTACTACAAGGGAAGAGACGGCAACTGGTACTACGACGGGCCTGAGCCACAGAGCAGTGAAAGTTACCGTGGAAGCCGTTCTGGTGCTGGGGCAGGAGGCCATTACGACGACGACCGCGCAATCAGAGACTCGAATCGCGCCAGAAAAATGTACGAGGAAGATGGAGATTTTGATGATATCGATAGCAGGAGATCCAAGTCTCGGCATGCGGTGAGTCGCAGTCGTGCCGGCGACTAATGATTCCGTCATTCCGGCGTCTTTTCTCGTCCCGTGCTTGGAAGTGCAAGAGGTTCTTGTTGCATTCACGACATGCTGACGCATCATTTTGCGCATGGAAGAAGTCTAGAAGCCCATCTCCAGATCCCATGAAGAAGTATAAGAAGAAGCCAGAGAGGACTCGCACGACGGTTGGAAACTTTGGTGCAGACCTGGCTGAGGATCTTATGGGTCTTTGAGAAGAGTTGGCCTGAACCGGAGAGCAGTGTCTCGCGGAATGATGATGCATGTGTTTGTGGATTTAGCGTGGCATTGGCGCAGCATATATTGCAGTATTTTTCTGCTGCGAAATGGCATATCACGAATCTGGGAGGATTTTCAAGAAGATGGGAGTGGAAGAAGACTCGACAGGACTCGTGATTCGCAGTTCTTCTCGTGATACGGTGGGTTGGACTCGCGCAATTGGCATTTTCGAATCCTTGTCACGAGGGACATGAAATGTTAGGTTACGATTGGAATGAGACAACGAGAGATGAATGATGATAACGTGCAATGGATCTGATTGTTACTGATTTGGTGCTGTCTTGTTCTATGTTGCCGAAAGTCTCCCAGCTAGTTCGAGGTGTATTGCAACCCAGAATGTCGTGCTCACGTGCGCTCCTCTAACCACCGTCTGGTGCCACCTTCGTGACCCGAGCCGGGCAATCTCTGTATGAGGTGCGCGCTCACAATGCCTTTTCTTTCTTGCCCCAGACCTCTATCAGGAACGGCTGGCCAGAAAGGGAGGACCAGTCCAACACGCCGTCCTTGATCGGGAGCTGCGCCGGCTGCGGGACGACGAGTCTGGCGACATCGTCGCTGTCGGTCCACCGGACCTCGAATGCGTTGGGGCCTCGCGTCGCAAACTTGGGGTTGAACCCGTCGCACGAGGGGCTGGACTCGAGCGTCTTGAAGAGGGACGTGATGCCCACGCCGTGCGTCGCGATCACCACGGTGCGATCCCGCTCGCCGACCAACGGTGCCTCAGCGCCGACGATGCGCGCAAAGACGCGCTTCAGCCGCCGCACGAAATCGTCAAACAGCTCGACGCCGGGGCCACCGTCGGCGCTGCGTGGGTTTCCCATGTCGATCGAGACGTACGACCCGCCCTCAAGCTCGCCGAGCGCTTGGCCCGTCAGGTCCCGGTCCGCGTGGACCTGGACGTCCGCGCGGTCGGCGAGGAGGGGCTTGATCGTCTGCACGATGCGGAGGAGGGGCGAGTGGTAGACGGCGTCGATATGTTGCCCGCGCAGCTTGTCCGCTAGAACCTGCGCCTCCCGGTGCCCTTTCTCCGTCAGTCTCGTGTCCCGCAACCCCTGGAGGATCCGGTCGATGTTGTCTTGCGTCTCGCCGTGGCGGATGAAGAGGACGTGGAGCTTTCCACCACCCCCACCACCACCGTTGGCTTGAGGTGGGGAGGCCATGTTTGTACAAATATTATCCTTTTACTTCCTTGACAGAAAAAGAGAGAGAGAGGGACACACACAGCAAAGAAGAGACGTGCTGACTGTCCCAGGGTATGTTAGGCACACACACACACACACACCAGTTAACCGAGAGCAGCCCGAATGTATGCTTGTTAAACAAGGAGACGCAGATCGAAAAACAGCGACGGACGTTCCGCCCCGTCTTCGAGAAGATACCAGCCACATATATAGACAGTCGGGCTCAATTGTCCGAAACTCTACCTTGTCCCTGTCGGCTAACCCCACAGTCGGCTTTGGGGAACTCGAAGCAGCCATTGCGGAGATTGTCGCGGGATGTCTGTCTACGTCACTCACATACGGGTGAGGCTAAGCTTGACAGATCTTGTCCCGTTACACGTTACACACGGTGAAATATTGTGTGTGATTGACTGTGTAGGTAACTCACATCGAGTATGGTTGATTGAGCATGGGATGTAAAGATGAGATCTGCCGGAAGAACAGTACTGTCCACACCGTGCAGAGCCCATGTCGACAGAGCTACTGCCTCGATAGGACCGAGACATCTAGCTCTGCTGGATGAGCATGTGTTCCTGCGTTAGATAGAGCTACTCGATTTTTCACCTGAGCTTGAGGCTACGCAAGCGAAGGATTTTATCAATGCGACGGCCAAGTGACAAGGCTGTCCTTAAGCCTTGCCAAGCCTTGCGCTGGGAGAGAGGCACAGAGGTTTAGTGGAGGGGCAGGTCGCTGACGAAGGATATTCTTGGCATTACGGTAGACTGCGAGCACAATGCCGCTGCTTCACTTGGACTGCGCCTAGATACATCCGGCTGCTTGTCGTCTTGTGTCAATAGAAAGTGTGACATACAGACCTCTATACTTCTGCTTCACCCGCCTCTCCCTCCCCTCTTCCTTGCTATCCCACAAGCTGCGAGGGGTCGACCTCTTCTGGACCTCCGCTCTCTTCCACAATGGCTGAACCACCCATCGGTAAGACCCCTCGCCCGCCCACATTGCATTGAATCTCCTGCTTACCCAGGCACCACAGTCCTCGATGGGGGTACCGGTTTCCTCAAGGTCGGCTATGCAGCTCAAGTACGTGCTGCCCGTGGCCCTCGTCCGATGCTTTTGTGAGAAGTTTCGAGACCTAACCAGTGCAAACCTCGACAGAATTTCCCCGAACACCAGTTCCCCTCCATAGTCGGGCGGCCGATTCTGCGGTCGGAAGAGCGGGCAGGAGATATCGTGGTCAAGGACATCATGTGTGGAGATGAGGCTGCCGCTGCAAGATCAATGTTACAAATCAGCTATCCCGTGAGGACCATCCCAAAGACCCCCGAGCAACAAGTAACGGCCGAGAAGAAATGGCTGACCCAGAACGTCCTGAGCTACAGATGGAGAACGGCATCGTCAAGAAATGGGATGACATGCAACATCTCTGGGACTTTACCTTTTTTGAGAAATTAAAGGTTGACCCCCGGGGTCGCAAGATCCTGTTGACCGAACCTCCGATGAACCCGCTCAAGAACAGAGAGCAGATGTGCGAGGTCATGTTCGACCGGTACGGCTTTGGCGGGGTATATGTCGCCATCCAAGCGGTACTGGCGCTGTACGCACAGGGCCTCTCATCAGGGGTCGTCGTCGATTCCGGAGACGGCGTGACGCACATCGTACCCGTCTACGAATCCACGGTCCTCAACCACCTTACCCGCCGTCTCGACGTTGCTGGCCGAGACGTAACCCGGAATTTGATTGCCCTCCTCCTGCGACGAGGCTACGCGCTCAATCGCACGGCCGACTTTGAAACTGTACGCCAGATCAAGGAGAAGCTATGCTACGTCTCGTACGACCTGACTCTCGACCAACGTCTGTCGGAAGAAACTACCGTGCTCGTGGAATCGTATACACTCCCGGACGGCCGCGTGATCCGCGTAGGAAGCGAACGGTTCGAAGCCCCCGAGTGTCTGTTCCAGCCGCACCTGGTCGATGTTGAACAACCCGGCATCGCCGAATTTCTGTTCAACACCATACAGTCAGCCGACGTGGACGTCCGCTCTTCACTGTACAAAGCCATCGTCCTCTCTGGCGGCAGTAGCATGTATCCCGGTCTCCCCTCGCGCCTGGAGAAGGAACTCAAGCAACTCTGGCTCACGCGCGTGCTGGGCGGGAATCCCGAACGACTGAACAAATTCAAGGTCCGCATCGAGGACCCCCCCAGGCGGAGACACATGGTGTTCTTGGGCGGCGCCGTCTTGGCCAACATCATGGCGGACAAGGAGAACATGTGGATCAGCAAGCAGGAGTGGGAGGAACAAGGACCGCGGATTCTCGAGAAGTTGGGTCCGAGATGATTAGTGAGGTGGAAGAGTATGGGAGAAGTGGGTGCTGGTTTTGTGTTGTGTAACGAGTCGAAAACACCCTGGTGGTCGGTCAGAGAGAGGACAGCGGCGGAGGGGGAGTGGGAACGAGTGATGAAGGAAAAACAATACTCGCCCCGTCTCCCCTTTTGTGGTCTTTTACCCTACTGGATATTGAAGTAGAAGGGGGAAGCTACAGGTATCTTCTCGACCCGAGGGGTTACCTATCTACAATACATTGGCGATGAAGAAACGACAAACCCAACGAGACCGAGAACGAACGAGTGAGATAAAATAAACATTCAATCAAACAAGTCAATCAATCGAATGAGACTTTTTGCCTCGTCCCATCGTTTCATATCATGTCATATTATATCAGATATACCATGCCCAAAAACTCAATCGGTATGTGCATGGACGGACATTGTAAAAGACAGAAATGTCGATTGACAGACAGACAATTCGAATCTCCCCCCCCCCTGTCTGGTCTGTCCATTACCTCTACCTAGACCCTATCCCCTACACTCTACCGGGCATAGACACCTCCATGTGTCGACGTATCTATGCACATACACACACGATCCTCCATGAGCATTGGTTTCGATGACATGCATGCATGAACAAGGATAGGCAGCCTTTGAGTCGCAAACCTGTTCTGCGCGACAACGCTCGAATTCGCGAGCACATTCCTCTCGGCACGGTATTGATACTCTTGAGCGCTTTTCCAGGTATTGTCAACTTACCAAGCCAATCGCAAAGGCTTGGATTCACAACGAAGGCCCACACCGCAGGTGCAGTGAGAGTCCCACGATCGGCATTTGTTACCTTGTTGTAAATGCACCACGTGAGACGACGAGCCGGCCGGATTCCCTGACAAGGTGCAGATGGATATCCGTCGGTTTTGGCCTCCAGCCAGAGCTTCAGTCGACTGAACAAAGGCCGTGTTGCAGATCGAGGGCAACTGTACTCGGGGCTTTTGTTCGCAAAGTGTAACAATTACACATGACGATGGTCGTGTACCACTAGATCGACCTCGGCGTGCGATAAGGATCCATGTATTGATTGACAACCGTGGAATTCCATGGATCACAGACGACGGAAGATTGCTGTGGAGCATATGGGAGACCATCTTGTCCAACTTGGTCATGGTGTGGTGATGGTTCAAAGTCAAACATACCGTTGCCAAAGAAGCCCAACACCTCTGCATCGGGCATGGCGAGGTCCATGTTCAGTGCGTGAGCCTCCATCATGACCCCATAGTCGCCTTCAAAGTCCTCCTCTGTCCAATTGTAAGGCATAACGAATCCCTGGGTCGTTGTGGGAACCACTTCTGGTTGATGTGTTGTGAACGTCGGTGGCTCGCTTAAAGCGGTAGAAGTGAAAGGCACTTCTGCCGATACTTGGTCAAACCGAGGGACAGGAGGTGTATGTCTGGGGGGGATCTCAGGAGGTCGCCAATCGTTCGACGATGACAGACTTATATTCAACGGCGCTGGTTGCACCGCCGGCGTCGAAATCTTGCCGCCTTGATGCTTGTTGATCATCTGTCCGATCAGAAAGCAAGCGGCATCGGCAATGGGCCAGATTTCTCGCAGTTGCAGTAATGCTCGCATACAAATATGAAATTGGTGCTCTGGAAGCGCTCCGATGCTTTGGCCCTTCGCTTTCATATCCACCAAGAAGGAGGCGAGTGCGAGCAGCATAAAACTCACCGACAGTGGTGGGAGAAACCTGACCAGGTCTCGCTCTTGTAGAGATTCTGTCATTTCCGCAATCTTCTCAGCTGCCTCCTTGACCTTTGACGTTGGGCTGTTCTCCCGGCCACTGGGGGGCTTGGACAGTGATTGAGGGCGATTGAGAGCTTCAGATGCCATCAAGTAGAGCATCCTCAATACTGACCGGTGCATCAAAAGAGAATCTGCAGTAGACGGATCGAGGTCATCGCTGCTGCTGCTCGTTACCAGCCAGCAACTGGGTGGAAGCTCCCTGTACCACTGATCAAGGTCCTGTTGCAACTGCAGATATTGCTTCCCTTTGACTTCGGACTTTTTGGGAGTATAGAGTAAGGTCGACTCGGATGTAGAGCCACCAAAGCCGCGCAAATGGTAAAAGTGTTTGAGGATCTGTCCAATGAAGAGCAGCAATTTGAGCTTTGCGATATACATCTCAGCCAACATGGATCTCACATATCTATCCGTGAGAAAAGAATTGCCTTGGAGGCACAAGATCGCCGAAGGGAAAGGCCCAGTCTCGAAGTCGTCCATTCTCAGAGGTGAGAGCCTGATATCCTCGTCTTTGATTCGCACTGGTCTTCGCATGCTGATAGAGATGATCCTGTCGCGGTGGACGCAACTCCACCATATTCGTCTCCACAGAGCTCTAACCTTGGGGTCCTTCTGTGCATGTGTAAAGGGTTGATTCAGCCCGATACTGGTGGCCAGAGAAACGCAGACACCGAGCCAATGCCAGGGATCTTTTTGGTCGTTCTCCGACACATACCAGTAGTTTAGTAGCAGTAGTGCTTGGATAAGGGCGACTCGGTCTACTTCCCAGTCGAAGTCGTAGAGTAGCTGGACGAGTGATGAGCAATGATATTGTCCCCGTCACAAATTTCGACAAACTTACCTTGACTTTCTGATAGAAATCGGCTCTTGCAGTTCTTCGACTTTCGTAGCCTGCTTCCTGGAGAAGCGGCAGCTCGACAAAGGCAGCGCCCGAGAACAGGATGGCTTGAAACACGACTAAGCTGATCTTCGGAGAGCCATCTTTGCCGTCGAGGGCACCCAGGAAGTCTTCCAGATCGACGATCGGCATGAACGGGTGCACGTAGAGCACAAAAGCTCGAATCAGCTGATCGTGGAGCTCGCCGAGGGGTAAGCTCAAAGCGCCACGGCGACGCAGGAACTTCAAGTCATCCTGTCGAATGTCTAGTCGACAAGGGCGAATGAAGGGCGGCAAATCAGTGCCGGCTCCCACGACGGATGCATTAGAGGCCGTGCTTGCATGGGTCGGCGCGGCCAGACTGTTGTTTCGAGGAAGAATGTGAGGAGTCTTGAATTCGATTGGCATGAAGGAATGCACTACAGATGGTTCTCAGGTCACTAAGGGCGCTGGCTGATAGTGCAACCATCTCAGAGGTCTTACCATGATTTGATTGAGAAGGAGTACTCGCCTCAAGTGCTGGAGCTGCATCGTTCACACCATCGGGGAGTTGCAGCCCGGTAGCTGAAGGCTCTGAGGCGGTCTTTGGCTGCGCTTGGGAAATCTGGGGAAGCGCCGTGGGGCGAGTCGACTGACGCTTCTGCAGACGATACTTTCTGCTCCGTCTCGATTCGAGGATGATACATTCGATGCCATCCGAGGAGCAGTTGTGGCAAGGCACGCCAGATTTAACCAAGTCGCATTTTACCTTGCGGGTTCTGCAATGGTGACAGGCTTGCGAAGCCCTCTTCTTCACCACGCGTTCAGCGGCATTGGAACCGCTTGCAGTCGAGGCCTCTCTGGCTTCCTCACTCATGGCAACCCTTCGCTGAGACGTCCAGGCTATGAGAGAGGCCACATTATAGGCCAGACACAAGGGCAGCCGGCGCTGGAAGTTACGCTGCGTCGGACAGCAATGATACAGATTCCAAGCACACGCACCACGAGCTGAGCAAAGGACGAGGTGGTGGCACGAGGTGTGAGAAGTCGAGAACGAGCGGGCGGTGCGTAGCTGCTGATGATACGATGACGGTGAATGTTGCGCAAGAACACCGAGAGGTCCTACTTGTGACTTGTAGAGGGAATGACAGAGATGGCGAGGGCCAGGTCGACGTCTCTTGAGAACTAGGTCAGGTCGTTCAAAGCGGGCAGCGACTCAGGCACCAGGTTGAAGGTCTGGATAGGGAATTAGGTGCCATAGGACAATGGATGAAGGAATGGACCGATGAGATGGGATGGTGTGGATGGCTATGGTCGGGGGCCGTGGTTGGCTGGATCATACGGGGACGAAAATCCCCCCGCACAATCAAATTTCGTGCAGTGAACGCCTGCGCACCAGCGCACCTGGAACCTGGCAGCCATCCCGGCAGTCAACAGTCTCCTTAATATGTAATCAATCTTGTAAGAAAATCCAAACTTCCAGCCTGCGGCCCTATTCGATCTCCCCCCGTCACCCCACCACCCAATGAAAACATCCCATACATAGACACTGCATAATACTCTCATCATAGCCATCTATCTTCCAACAGAGACGAAATATTTACACAAGACGGTCAGCGACGCATCAAGTCCTTACGGCCCCGGCAACCTCTACTCTACCGGCCAGTTACAGACCATGCACCAAGTCGGGACGCCTTCGTCGCCCTCCTTCCTGTCCCGGGGATACGACCAGATAACCTTTACAACCCTGAAGCCGAAGTATCCATAGACATTCCTTGCTCTTGGATTGCCCGCCACAAGCCAGAGCGGCACCTTGTCCTCCTTGGCTCGATTGATGTATGGTTCAATGACAGCTCTGACGGCGCCCTTGTCCTTGCGGTTGGGATCCCGCGCCATCAGCGAAAGCGTCCAATATGGCTGACCAGGCCCTAGACAAGCCAGCCTCGCGTCTTGAATGTCTCGGACAAACTGTGCAAAGACGGGCCTCTCTCGGGCCATCTCCTCAAACTGTGCTTCCGTAAAGGGTGGCGGGTTGGACGATGGCGGCTCCCAGCATGCCACTGCCGCAAAGTTGGCTGCTTCGACAACTGACGCGCCGGCGGCCACCTTGGTTTCGATCCGCCTTGCAGCGCCAGTGTAAAGAAGGTCTGGCGTCACGACCGTGGCCTGGCCAGTCTTTTCCTGTTGGAAGACAATATTGAGCGGATCCTCGAGATTGGCCCGCGATACGATCTCGGCAAGACGATGGCGGTACTCGGCCGACTGCGACGTGGTGGTTTGAGGAAGCGATTGCGTCGGCGCCGAAGACCTGCCATTGACGTCTACGAGCGACGCAACCGACGTATTGTCGACCG